CCGATAGTCTTCTTCTTATCATAGCATACCAACCAGCGAACACCCAGCCAAGTTTAGTTAGCCAGTTTGAGTATTCGTTACACGCCAGCTCGACAGGCGAGTTGGCTACCCAGATCATAGTACTTGAGGATGAAGGTTCTATATAAGACTGGCACGTCTGCCATTAGATAGGAGCTTCGTGCTCAACTTAGCTATCAATCTTATCATGTTAGTTTGACATCTTTGATACAAGTAACGAGTTCACTTCCAAGTGAACAACCCGATAGTCTTCTTCTTATCATAGCATACCAACCAGCGAACACCCAGCCAAGTTTAGTTAGCCAGTTTGAGTATTCGTTACATTACTCTTTAGAGCGCGACTTTAATTTATTCTAATCCTAGTTAACTATAACGTTACTATTAGGCTAGGTAAACTTCTAAGGTATAATTACGTAATTAAAGCTATTTAGAAGACGAAAAAAGGGCGTTCTATAACTGTAGTCGCGATTATAGTATTGTTATTATATAGGGGAAGAAGTAAAGGTATCGCGAGAGTACGTACTTAGAAGGGTAGTAGTCGATCACGTGATTTACGAATCGGGCCTAGCGCGCAGCGCCCCGGTCTCAGCCCCGGTCTCAGTAGACAGTTCAGCCAGGGGGACTGTCGACCAGCCGGGAGAATAGATAGGGACGAGGAAATGTTACTAAGAAGCTTCGTATTCGAGGACATTATTCTATTTATAGCACAGAAGTTGTGTACTACTCGAGTAGTCAACTCCACCACTCAACCTAACTTAACCAAATCCATTACTTGTACTTTAGTCAACTAAATTTAGAGTGACTATATTTAGTACTGTATTCGAGTTGTTAAGTAGTTTGTTACAACGCTGTGAACTTTATTACTCCTTGTACAACGAGAGTCAAGAGGCTCTCACCTTTGCTCTGCATACACCACCCACTGAGCCACCTTCCTTTCTACTCTAACCCAATATCAGTGATACCCGGTCGTAAAACACAAGCATGCAAGAATGGAATATACATTCTCGGCAACTACACCAATCACATCAGGCTACCTGATCACGACCCACCACAGGTTACGCCTGACGTGAGATAGAGCGAGGCCAAGCAGCATCAACACAACCCCCAACCCAAGTGACTTTCACACGAGAACAAAACACTGAACACAGCCAAAAACATAATTATCATCCATTTCAAACTACACCAAAAAGAAAAGAAGGTCCATTACAAGCTTCCCACTACACACAACATATATACAAAAGAAAGGCCGAGGCAAAAGACCTGCTCATCCAGACAACCCAAAGCTCCTTGAGAGAGACAGTTCATTCCTCATTAGGATCAGTCATGGAGTTGTCGTCCTCCTTGGGAGCTCAGTCCTCATCCTCCTCATCGTTGACCTCTCTCTTCTTGTACTCCTCATCCTCCTCGTCGTTGACGGCTCTCTTCTTGTACTCCTCATCCTCCTCGTCGCTGACGGCTCTCTTCTTGTACTCCTCATCCTCCTCGTCGTTGACGGCTCTCTTCTTGTACTCCTCATCCTCCTCGTCGTTGACAGCTCTCTTCTTGTACTCCTCATCCTCCTCGTCGTTGACGGCTCTCTTCTTGTACTCATCCTCCTCATCCTCGATCGTGGAAGCCTCCTGAACGGATCGATCCTCAATGATGATGGGGTTTCCATTTGCGTCCTTTACGGAGCTAGTGACTTCGTTTGTGCCCAGTGATCGATCCTCGATGATGATGGGGTTTCCATTTGCATCCTTGACGGAGCTGGTAACTTCGTTTCGAGCCTCAAGTCCGAAGCTGTTGGAGTTGAATTGAGCGAAGGTGCGGAGACGGTTGAGAGGTACGGCTTGGACAGTGGTCGCGGCGCAGAAGGCCAGAATCAAAGCTGCGGTGGAGGAACGCATGATGAAGACTAATGAAATAAAGTACTTTTATGTATGTACAAAAGGCAGACCAGCTGATGTGAAAGAATGTAGGAAGGTGAATTTAGCAATAGCCAGGAAAGAAACTTGGGTATGGGAGGGGGTTTTCAACAGAACATTAAGCTTATATATTGACGGATCAAACGTCGTCCAAGAACGCGAGGGTATATCCGATTTGTCATCACGGAAAGGAAGGACATTGACGTACTCGAGTACAAGTCTCAGCACCGATTGTTTGAAATCCGCGTCAAGAGGTCGCAAGAAGCGCAGCTCGATCTGTAACAGAAGTACTCGGGAGACCAATCAGCGAAAGTTTGGAATCGAAACTGGTATTTGATTGGTGTCTATATTGCCAGATCTGCAGAGATCTGCTTGGAAAAAGCTTGGATCGCTTATAATGCACACAGTGGAGGCTGTAACGCCATGAAACGCACCAAAGAGGGTTTGGGTTCGAACAAACACATGCTTCTTTTTCTCGGCCACTTGAAGCCGTTTGCGACGGGCCCCCAGGTCCCGGAGTTTCAACCACTCACGAGCCACTTACATCGATAGGCCACCGCTGGACAAGTTGTTGAGAAACGTCACGAGAAGGACTTTGTTGGTTGTCAGTGCGTAGAATAGTCTTCCTAAAGCTCTTGCTATTGTATAAACATCAACATCATAAGACTGTATGAGAACCCACTGTCTGCGTATCCCATCGCCGGAAAGAAAAAAAACACCCAAGACTGGAAGACCAGGAAAAGCAATATAATTTCAGAGATGCCTAAAGAGAACAACTTAGCACGCACAACCTTCCTTGGAAGCGTTGTCTCGTGGACCAGTAAGATTAACTCTTGACTGGTCTTCTGTTCTGCTGGCTGTCTGTGCAGCACCAGGACCTCTAGCACCTTTCAGTGACGTCTCTGGGATCGCATTTGCGATTGCGGTGAAAACCTCCGTCACGTTGATTCCAGTCTTCGCACTGGTCTCGAAGAATAGTAAACCCTCCTCCTCGGCATATGATTTTGCCTCGGCCGTGGAGACTTTTCGTGCATCTCCATCGTCCTCTCCCTCCGCGGCATCCGTATCAGTATCATCACCCAAGGGATTACTCGAAGTTGTCTCGTTGGTCAAATCAAGTTTGTTACCTACGAGAGCAATAACTATTCCTGGCGACGCCTGTCGCTGCAACTCTGCCACCCAGTGTTTTGCCTTGACGAGGGACGTAGGTTTGGTAAGATCGTAGACGACGAGGGCCGACTGGGCATTTCGATAGTACATGGGAGCAAGTGATGCAAAACGTTCCTGTCCCGCGGTATCCCAAATCTCGAATTTGATTGTCCGGGTTGGCAGATTACATTTTTGTGTGAGAAAGGCAGCTGTGGGAGACATTAGTATGCATGCTCATGATCGGATGACGCGGGTGTTGCCTCCATACCTCCGATGGTAGGTTCTTTATTTTCCTGAAAGTCGTTGTTCACAAATCGGAGAACTAGAGACGACTATATCAAGGTCAGTCGGCGTTCACGCAGCAGAGCCCTTGTCCTTCTCGTCCTCGTCCTTCCCCTGGAGAGACAGAAGTGGATAGATATAAATGTCTGGTACCTTTCCTACTGCTGCTTCACCAAGCAGAACGAGCTTCACGCTGCTGCTCGGCTTGGGCGCTGTTGCCTCAGCCATGGTATGTGATGAAGCGGTCCGGCAAGAACGGTGTACGGTGATGTGTAGGGTTGGCGTTTACTCGTCACGTCACTTGAAAGAGCTGCAAGTGGCGCAGGATATCTTGCAATCGTGTTCGTGTATGCGACGAGGACGATGAGTTGGGGGCGACGGTTGAGCGAGGCGAGGGCGAGGGGTGATTTTGGGGTACGAGTATCGTATCTTTATCTTGAGGGTTGTGGCTATGGCGGTCTCGCTGCAGGTGGCTCTGGCTATGGGCGTGCAGGTTGATGGAAAGCACCATGACGATTTCCGAGGTGACGCTAAACCCCGTTGGCTAGTTCTTGGCATTATTCCCAGCTCGCGCCCGCGGCTTTTTGGGTGGAGCGCCGGCGCCGATGCCGACGGGACATTGCATTTTTACAAGAAAAGATTTCTGATTCTGAGCTCCGGATCCACCTCCACCTCCATCCACATCCACCACATTTGAAGCTTCCCAGTCACGCACATCTAGAAGCATCAACAATGGCCAAACGGAAGGCGGAATCCGTTGCTATCTCGCAATCAACCACCAAGAAAATCAAGCAGAATTTACTCGACAGCGACGACAGTAGCAGCGAGGATGAGTCGGTTGGCGGGGTCCAGCTAGAAGAGGAAGAACCAGAACCCGCATTCAAGATCAATAAGGAATTCGCAACACGATTTGAGCACAACAAGAAAAGAGAGGAGCTTCAGAAACGTCGGTGATTCATTGGCGCTGGTGCGAAAACACAGTCACTAACGTTGCACAGTTGAGGACAAATACAACAAGCCTACTAAACGAGCAGATGGCAAACTCTACGGAGACAAGTACGACGAAGACTCGGAGTCATCCGATGACGAGGACGAGGATGATGATGGATTCCTTGCGACGGAGGATCTAGATGCCGAGATCTCAGCTACGCTCCAGGCTCTTCAATCTAAAGACCCTCGTGTGTACGACGAGAAGGTCACCTTCTATAAACCAGTCGAGGAGGATGTGGAAGATGCTGCACCCGACGCAAAGAAGGACAAGCCCATGTACCTTCGCGATTACCACCGAGAGAATTTATTGAAGGGTGCGAATGGCGAGGATATCGAGGAAGACTCGGCTCCACGAACTTTTGCACAAGAGCAAGCTGACCTTCAGCGATCGATCGTCAAGGAAATCCACGCGGCGGGCGACGACTCGGAAGACGAGGATGGTGGCTTCATGATTCCAAAGCCTAAACGGAAATCGGAACCTCAAGATTTTGCTCTGCCAGTCCATCCTTCAAGGACAAAAAGAGTCAAGGTCGACGTCGAATCAGCCGACAAGGACCCCGAAACTTTCCTGTCAAATTTCCTACAGGCACGAGCTTGGGTACCAACTGATGGAGCACGATTCCAACCACTCGAGTCGGATGACGAGGAAGAGGATTTGCGAGCGGATAAATTTGAGGAAGCTTACAATTTGCGGTTTGAGAAAACAGAGGGTGCCAACGAAACACTGAAATCTTATGCCAGAGATATTATTGCCGCAAAATCCGTTCGTCGGGAGGAGCCAAACAGCAGAAAGAAGCAAAGAGATGCTGAAAGGGCCAAAAAGGAAGTCGAGAAAGCGGAAAGAGAGTCCGAAAGGGCTCGTTTGAGACAACTAAAGATTGCAGAAATGGAGGAGAAACTTCATAAAATCAAAAGAGCAGCAGGTCTCAAGGGTAAAAAGGTAAAGGATGAGGATTGGGCCAAATTCCTGGATGAAGGTTGGGATGATGCTACTTGGGAAGCGGAAATGAACAAGAAGTTTGGACAGGATTACTATGCTGAGGGCGAGGAGGATTCTGGTTCTGAAGCTGAATCAGGCAAGAAGAAGAAACTCCATAAGCCAAAGTGGGATGATGATATCGATATCAACGACATCATACCCGACTTTATTGATGAAGAGGAAGCTCAAAATAAACCAGCCTTTGCTCTATCAGACTCTGAAGACCAAGACGACGATGATGACGAAGCCAATTCAGACGCAACCCCGAAGAAGAAGTCCAAAACAAGCAAGGATCACGCGAAGGATAAGGCCGCCAAGAAGAAAGCCGCACGTCTTGAACGCAAAAAGATTGAAGAACTTGTTGATAATCAACTCGATGTCACAATGTCGCTATCAAAAACGCCCGCTACATTCCGATATCGAGAGACCTCCCCTATGTCTTTCGGTCTGAATGCTAGAGATATTCTCATGGCGCCTGACAAGGCTCTCAACGAATTTGCAGGCTTGAAGAAAATGGCTGCATTCAGAGATCCTGAAAAGAAAAGAAAGGACAAGAAGAATCTCAGCAAGAAGGCGAGGATAAGACAGTGGCGTAAAGATACCTTTGGAGATGAGAATGGACCGACGATTGTCATCAAGGAAGGTGGCCTTGCCAAGAACACGGGTGATATTGTAGAAGGCAAGAAGAAGAAGCGTAGCAAGAAGAACAAAAAGAGTGGTGAGATGGAGGTTTGATATGAAGAATGTTCGTTGGGGTGATTTATGGGATTACAATGAAATAGAGTGTGTTATACCCGAAATAATAATTCGAATTGAGTTTTCTCCAAGAGGTACTGTTCCATCTTCTTTTCTTTTTATGATATATGGGGGCTTCTTGTGTTGTACTACCTCGCTTCTTCCTAATGTGTCTTTAAAATAGTCGAGGTCGACGCGACACCTACCTACCTACCTTGCCCCCTCCCCTTTTCCCTTTGCCTTTTCCCTTATTTCTCTTATATAATACTACTTTTCCTCTATTGTCGATTCCACCTTCCGAAAAATAACGAAAATCCACATCAAAACATCCCCAAACATCAGCTTAAACAAGTTACAAGACCTTCTACAGACTCCCTAACCTCTATTAGGGGATAATCGATATAATAAAGTGAGTTTGACGGTGAAGCCTTCCACGGATCGAAAGCTCTTAAAGATGTTTAACTCTCTTAACCTTTTAGCCCTGAGTGGAAGAAATATTAAATAAATCTAGAAAAGAGGTGGTATAAGTTCGAGTTTTCCTGCAGCGCTCGTTGTAGAAGAGACGGCCATGAGGCGGAAAATTAAAACTTCTAAGAGCTGGAGAGGTTTATGAATACTACCACTGTAAATATATAACCGGGGGAAAGAAAAGAATACCTAGCTAGAAAATGGCAGAGAGTAAGATGGTGATTATTCTGAGCATTTTGACGTTTTTCATTAATTAATTAATGTAAAGAGACTATGACGCGAAAACCCTGCTATGCAATATCACGTGAGTCATCGAGGTCAAAAAAGCAAAGAGTGAGTGATTTAATTTACTCTTGCCCTAATTATTCTAAATACACAAAATCATTCATCAAAATATTGACTAGATATTCCAATAAAAAATTCTGGGGCAACCACGTATAAGTAATCCTAAAAACAGGAATGATGAGGAATTATTTGTCCACTGCGAGCGGGCCTTGTTTCAAACTGGAAGCGAGGGTACGTTAACTACGGAGCACCGAGAACCACAATATACGCTCTACATATCAACATGTATCAATAATTTGGGAACCCCATCCCCCAACCTTCCATATCTCGTAGACTACCTGCACGATTCAGCTCGTTGCGACGACGTGAGCTGTGCCGCTTCTCTTCAATTTCCGCGGATCCCGTGGTGAACCACGAACTCGGAGACTCTTGCTTGCTTTTATTTCACCTCGACGGCGTAAAAGCTTCGTTCTTTCACTCAACCCCGATTTTTATTTACTCAATCCGGGTTATCAATCCAAGCTTCAACAATTCATTGCATTTGCCTTTTTTCCTCCCTTACTATATATAGCCGTTTCCCATTCTCTGACCTGATAGCGGAAGGTGTAAGACCATCATGCACTCTCTCATCAATTTCAAGAGCGCCCTCGTGGCAATTGTCTTATACATATTCTACCGCATTATCGTGTCCAAGTTAGCCTCATTCCGGAATGCACAAAAAGCAAAGGCACTCGGCTGCGAGCCAGTATATATGCGCCCAAACCGACTCCCTTTTGGGATTGACCAGTATGTGATTCTTGCCCATGAATTCAGATCTTGGACATAGTGGCCAACATGGAGCTTTCTGCTCCCTCTCCCCTCCCCCTTCACCCCTCGATCTTCATTCTCTGTAGGGAGATATAAATGCTGATGTACCGTAGTTTATTGGTTTCAATCAATGCTGTCAAGGACGGAACCTTCCTCACCGTGATCGAGGACTTTTTCGTGGATATCGGTGGCCGCCATACCTTCTCAACATCGGTGCTTGGTGGTATCGAAACTCTTACTGTGGAGCCAACCAACATTCAAGCCATGCTAGCTACCCAATTTGAAGACTTTGATCTTGGAGATAGACGAAGAGGTACAATGGATCCTTTCCTGGGATCGGGCATTTTTACTCAAGATGGAAAGAGGTGGCAGCATTCTCGCGCTATGCTGAGACCCCAATTTGTGAGAGAGCAAGTCAGTGATCTTGTGACGGAAGAAGAACATGTTCAGAACTTGTTCAGCGTGTTGCCAACCCCCTCGACTGATGGCTGGACAGCTGAAGTGGATTTACAACCGCTTTTTTTCAATTTGACACTTGACGCGGCTTCACAGTTTTTGCTTGGCGAATCGACATACAGTCAACTTACCGATCCTACGTCCGACAAGAGGGTTGCTGACTTTGCCAAATGTTTCGATGTTGGCACTCGTGGACTCTCTAAGAAATTTTCCTACGGTCCATTTTCGACGTTGTTGCATCCTACAGGGTGGAAAGCAGCAGTCTCCACATGCCACAATTTTATTGATGATGTTATCGGCAAGCGTCTTGAAAACATGGATAGGAAGAAAATCGTTGGGGATTCAGAAGATGAGAGGAATCGCTACGTCTTCTTGGAAGCACTGGCTCAGGAGACTCGAGATGTTTTAGAGCTTCGATCGCAGATTCTTAACATTCTTCTTGCCGGACGAGACACCACAGCTGCCACCCTTGGTTGGACCTTCTTCCAACTTGTTCGCCACCCAGAAGTCTATCAAAGATTGCGTAAAATCATTCTCCGCGAATTTGGAACGTATTCGGAATGCGTACCGCATAGGGATATTTCGTTTCAAAAGTTGAAAAGCTGCTCTTATCTTCAACACACCTTGAGCGAGACTCTCAGGCTATTTCCTGTGGTTCCTTGGAACAACAGAGTTGCTAACAAAGATACGAGTCTGCCTACCGGAGGTGGTCCAGATGGGAAGAGGAAGATTTTCGTTCCTAAGGGAGGACAAATCAGCTACTCGGTTCATGTGATGCAACGAAGAAAAGACCTCTGGGGCGAAGACGCAGCTGAATTCAAGCCAGAGAGGTGGGAGGGAAGAAAAATGGGCTGGGACTTTATACCTGTAAGTAACACACAGACCTGCCTTGAGTTTTTGATGAGGATTGATAATGACAAACCGCTCCCTAGTTTAATGGTGGCCCTCGAATCTGTTTGGGACAACAATATGCCATAACAGAGGCAAGCTATATTATCGTCCGACTCCTCCAAAGGTTCGATGACATGAAGAACATGGATCCAAGCCTCGAGCCTCGATACGAAATGGGCTTGACTGTATGCCCAAGCGAGGTGAAAGTGAAAATGCATGAAGCTTGAGCTTTGTTCTTTACATGTACAGATAAACATGGATACAAGGATACTGGCGGGGACATATCTATAATGATACAAATCGAGGTTCTTAGCATAGGCGACGACAAGGCTGTATATTCAAGTGCTAGGAACATATAATGCAGTGCCTAGTATTGTTTATATATTAGAGTAATATACGTACAATCCTACGAATCGTATCGTTATACCTCAGTTTAATACCTGGAAATATTCGGATTTCAATTAGAATTACTTCCATCCGAAAAATCCCTTGTTTTACTAGTCGTGAGAATAAACGAGGATATCTTTGGTGTTGAAAAAGAGTTTAGGACCTCAGATATCTTCATAACCGAGGTTTCCTTGAACCCCATCCCAAAGCAACCAGGACCCAGAATCTAATCCAAGGATATAACCAAGGATCCCTGTATCAGCGTTGATCTGTACGCCGACGATTCAGGCTGTCAGAATGACCGATCGCTTCAGATGTTGAGACGGTTTTTGACAGGCAATTGTGACAGCTTTCCTCGGCCAATCGAAACATCAGACCGTTGAGGTTCCCTATTCTTTGTCAGGGGTATACCACGATTGGGGCTTGCCTTTCTGGCAGAAAGGCAAGAAGTTTCTGGTTCCCCTCCGGTAGGGATACCGGAGGGTATGATGTACTGACACTTGGCCCAGGTTACTGTAACTTGTGACTTAAGGTTGAACCACGGGATCGGCTCCTGGACGGGAGTCTTGGGAGTCGGGATAATCACGATATAATAATAACCTTATATTTTATTTCGACTACAACACGTTTTTCTTAAACGAGCTTGTGTTCATTGTGGGGAGATACAATCAATGAAAGTGAGGAACAAACAAACTCATACCTACTGTTTTTAATTCGCCTTACATTATTTTCCCTCCTACCTACTTGGACTCGATTCTTGCTCCGAAATTCTACTGTTGTGTACCTCGGAAATGGAGAAAAGCTTCACCCCGTTCCCGTTTGACCTCATCTCTTTTTGGTACCGAGAGTCTACTCGATCTAGCCGCCAAATCATCCCAGGAACAACATGGCTAGTACGTACCGAGTACGGTACGGAGGACGTCCAGTCTCCAGTCTCCCTTTTCGGATGCATCCCCAGCTTGCGGGGCAGTTTATATGATCTTCATAAGAGAACGATTCCCGCACCCATTTCCAGATTCTTTCTTCATCCAAACAAAAAAAAAACCATTGGAAACTTCATTCTTTCCTGGCCGGTCCATTTGTTTACTTTTTCCTTCTTCGATTCCCGTTCTTTCGATCAGCCTTTATAATCAGTTTGATACACTCAGCTATAACCCCCAAATACCGCAAATATGAAGTTCGCAGCTATTCTTTTCACTTCCCTCGCGGCCTTTGCCTCAGTCTCCGCTGCCCCTCAGCAAAAGAAGGCACCCAAAGGAAAGGAAGGAGGTGGCGGTGGAGCTGCCGGCTCAGTCGTCAAGGGATCAGACACCCTGACCTTTTTCGAAGTTGGAGGTATCCCCGGAAACGAATGCCTCACATTCCGTAACAATGGTACATTGCCTCCATCCCCTCTACCACGGACTAGCCATCTAACAAGCACTCTAGGTGACATGGTCAACGCAGCATGCGTCGACACCGCCGCCGACCGACAAATGACGCCCAGCAAAAACGCCGCGGGTGACGATGTTCTCCTCTTGCAACGCTCTTTCGCCGCGGGCTTCCGTCCGGATCTGGTGGGTGTGCAGGCTTGCTTGGGATTGACGGATGGCACTTTCAAAGCGATCGATTGCGCTTCGTCGGATCCCATGGTCTCCCTTAAGGGGACGCAGTTGTTTGCCGGAAAGGCGTGCCACAGCGGTCACAACGGGAAGGCTGAGGTCACTGTGGACGCTACTGGTGCCAAGTGTGTTGATGTGAAGACTAAGAAGGTCAAGGCGGCTGCTCCTATTGAGTAGATTGGGAAAAGACAATGGGGATGGATTGATGTATCTGCAGATTTTATGCTTGATAATCGACGACAAGCTTTTCTTATAAATAATTATATTTTTGGAACCATTTCCTAAGGTGTCCTTTCGTGAGGGTTATATTTTGTTAACCGAAGGAGACGCGCGGTAGAGTGACCTATACAAGTATAGCTTTGCTTACACCATGTGCGGACCTGAAAAATCCTCAGTGCTCTAGCTTAGATGGAAAGCAAAAAATCAGCAGAGGAACATCGGGCAGCTTGGGGTCTTAATCTATCCGTGCATCACGATGTCGCTCCTGCCTTGCTGCGCTCAGACCACCTTAAGCGATGGGATGGTTTAGGGTTATCCCAAGTCTATACTTGTGTCAAGTTTGACGGTCGAGGTTGAGATGGCATCTTCCCCCTCGGGACCTTGACCTTGGTCATGAAGGTAGGTTGAATGAAAGAAGGTGTGATTTTAAACTGCACCTTCCCTTGCAAGTCCGCTCGGTTACTGGTACCTACTGGTACCATAATTCGTATCTACGAGTACCTACGAGTAGGTAGGTAAAAACGTGAGAGCTGATCTCAATACCATCTATAATCAGAAACACCATTAAAATCCCACCTAATCAATCACCAGCACCTACCTAGCATTCAACTATCCAACATCTCTACAGTACGATATCACCCAACTCAACACACGGTAAGAGAGGCGGGCACTACCGTGTACACACCTGAGTCATAAAAAATATTATCCTGAAGACCTCACACAACTAAATCAATTATACGAATGGTTTAGAACAATTGTTGGTTTTCAATGCTTATTGTACTAGGTGAAATAGGACAATTAAGTCACTTGTGACAGAGTTTTGATATAATGACTTTTGATAGCGTGTACAGAGCAATGCTCGCCTCTCTTACCTCAAACCCCCAACTTTCCTAACTTACAAAAAGGTAGGTAGGTAGTCTTGGATACAGTAAGACCCGCCCTTTATATCATAAAGTAACCTGACCTCAGCTTCGATCGCTTTAATGTCCGGTAGGGTAGGGTAAACATGTTTCCATACTGTACATACCCGAGTCTCTGGGGTGATCGCCATCGGGTTTTATGTCGTGTGGAATGGTTATCCGTGCTTCTCGTTTCTATGAAATGAATGGGGGGTGATGAGTTGATAATGAAGCTTTCTGGTTATCTCGGGGTGACGGTGTGAAATGACTGTTTGGTGAGGCGTCAAGGCGGACAATAGTAATAGAAGAGAAATACATATTACATGGAGGGATGGTGGGGACGTGTTTGGAGTTACGCTCCAACGGAACGTTTCTTTCTATCAGTATTGCAATTTACAGGATACTAATTAATTGGTTGTAGGTGGACTAAGCACCGGCCCAAAAGCATCATCAAAACTCATACCATCCAAGAACGAATCCCACATGCCCTATTCGGAAGTCAGAAAGGGGGAATCAAGGAATAAAAAAGGGATGCAGAAGAAAGTGATACCCAATCAATATTCATACCATCTCCCGAACCAAGAATTTCAAACTCCGGCACATGAAGATGGGTTTGCTCATCATGGAGCAACGCAGGATGGATATGGTTGGCATCTGCATCCGAGTTGGAGGCTGGTTGTAGTCCAACCTGGTCCCCAATCCCAAGCGTCTCAATCATATAACACAGAACCCGGTACACTTTACTCACCTCCGGCAGGCTCTTCTGCGCATACTCCCAGATCCGAAACGCCGTCTTGATAGCAGCGATCTTCTTCTCTTCCTCGAGCTCCAGGCCAGCTTCCAGACGCGCACCAGGGACAGAAACCCTCGTGGACCGCAGATCCAAGCATAAGATCATGGCGGAAAGAATGAAGTCCTGACTGGTGAACGAGAACCGGTACCAATGTCGTGTAAAGCGTATTTTATCATTGACCGTCCCGCGAGCTTCCTGGTAGAGAATCCCTTGGATGGAAATTAGTGCCATGGCGGAACGAATGCAGCGTCTTCGAGAGGGCGCGAAACGACCGTCGATTCGGCCTTGGACCATGAATTTTCGATGCAGGACACACATTCCTTGGTGGAAGAGCATTTCTAGTTGGACTCTTCGGCCGATGAGGGATTTGGGGTCGTTCATGGAGTCTTCTAATGGACGCATGTGTAGATATGGCTAGGTACTTTGTCGGCTTTGGATATAACATGATGAGGAGAAGAGAAGATTTATACTTACGGGTAGCTGAGATTGCGCTAGTGACAGTTCATCATCCAACTCAAGAACTCTATCATAAGAGTAAGGTCCAAGAGCACAGAGAAAATCTACAATCTTGCCAAGTGCGAGCAAAATACCGTCCTTCGAAAGGAGAAATATTATCGGGGTTGAATCAGTACTTGGTCTTGAAGGCGGCAACTTGGTCATACTTTCGGATAGATCCCAGTCGTAAAGATTCCGTGGGACTGCCGTATCATAAGTATTCGCTCGAACCATTCCAGGCAAGCCCGTCTGAAACGATAGCACGGAATCTAGGCGGACTATAAAGAACCATACTCGACGCCTCATTTCTCCTTGGAGAATTGAGATTTCGGGGTATTGTGAAGGATCCCTAAGATCTGTTAGTGTGTTTAACAAGCTCTGTGGGACTAGACTTCCCTGTGGTAGCCCATTTGTTGGGCCACGCGAATAATGGTTCCAAACATAATCCAAACACCAGTTCCACCATCACTTTTCCGAGCTTGTTCTCCAATCCCATAAAACAGCAATGTCTCCATAGTGTACGGAGCACCTTTTGTGATATCGCCCAACGCTAAGCACTGTGCAGTTCTGAGGCTGTATACATCAAACATGCCCTCCGAAAGTCCTTCATATTCTGGAGGTTCCTCATCCATCAGATGATACGAAAGCATGACCAAAGCCATCAATGAAAATAGCATTCCAACCCACATAACTTTTGTTTCTTCTGGATTGGCCCAGTAGGCTTCATACTCCTGCATGAATGTAGGTTTGTGGAGACAGTCTATCTAGACGGTCAGTTGTGCTTCGACGGCTCTTCTTTACAATAAGACTTACGAAGCGCGGTCAATGGAGAGTCATACTCATCAAATACTCGGTCAATTAGTTTGTCTAAAACTGGCCTCTCTGGTATTGACGTATGAATTTCGTGAAAAGTTGAGGATTTGAAGCCTGAGTACAGTAACGGGGCCCCATTAGCAACAGAGATAGAGCTAGAAAATGAAGTATCGAGATTCAAAAAGTCTGGGTCTCCAGGATCTTCCTGAACGCGAGCCCACACATTTTTGAGCTCGTTGAGCTGCGTGGATGTTAGGATAGCTTGGATGAGGTATTTATAAGATGCTTACTTCTTGAAAGACATCTCCCCAGTGAGTACTGCCTCTGTACTGAGATTTTTCTTGAGATACTCTCATCACTCCTACACCATGTCGAATCTCATCAGTTGAGTTATTCTCGTCTGCTCTAGCTACCGTGTATTCAGTTCCATTTTGATGTGTGGTTCCATTCGTCTTGATGCAAGGATCTTTTATGGGATTCTTGGGTACATCTCGGGAAGCAATTCTCTTAACAAGACTCTCCAAGTGGTCTATTCTCTCCTGCATGCTCTCAACATGCTGAGGTCGGATATTAGGTGTACTAGCGCCTCGAACTGGCCTCCGAGAACCAGCATAACTACATGTTTCTCTCCGAGTGATACAATTTGCACATGGTTCTTTCCGGTCGCATTTCAATCTCAGGAAAGGTCAGTGATGATCAGTGATATTCGTGAAGAGGATGCATCATACTTTCGGTTTCTGCAAAGGGCGCAGGACTGAGGGGGGCGATAAGTTCTGCCCGCTTTGCGTTGCTGTTGCTTTGAAGATATAGAGACAGCAGGATTGGAAATTATTGATATATTTGGTTCCATGATTGGATTTTGACGAAGTTTTGAGGAGAACCTATTATAGATTCCACTGGATGAAAATAAATATTTCAACCTTAAGTCCGATATGTCCGGTTCGAGTTCAAGACGCGAAGAAACCCCGAGTGTCGCCTGTAACAAGTCGAGTGAGTTTTATATTTTTATATTCATACCCATATAACTTCACGTCCATTCAATTGAATTTGCCACACCTCACTCACTCACTTACTCCCTCCGCCAAACACCCTCCACACAACTACCCTCTAACCCTCTAACCACAAACCACAAATCCACAATTCTCCCTCACCTCTAAATAAATTACCAAATAAGACATCTTCCTGGCACGCCTCTTCTCACTCTCTCTTCATAACCAAGAAGCGGAAACAGTAGGTTAATGTAATGAAATGAGGGTTATTATAGCACAATGAGGGACTCTGGAAGAAAGATTAGGCAAATGCAAAATTCTAAAGTGTGATTTCTAAACTAGAATATTGTGCTGACCTCTCGTAACCATAACATGGGCAAATATGCTGCCCTAAAACAACGTGTATTGAACATCTGACCTTGACCTCAAATCAGATAACCTCTAAGTAGATGCATTCAGCAAATTTTCTCCAAAAGAAGATTCATGTGAACGAACCTCAATTCTGTGAAAAAACAGCAATATTCTGCTAACTTCCAAAGAAATGTGATCAAAAGTCCTTTTGCCGACCCCTTGTAGACTTGGGCATAATGATATGGCGTGAGATAAAAGGGCGTCGTGATAGCTCCTCTCCAATAAGCTGACCCGGCATTTATACAGCTTTGTCGTCAAGTTGGGTTTGTGTATATACCTTCTCTCCTCTCTTCAAAATCCTTTCATCCATCCACTCCAACAGCCTTCAGTGCGTCCTTGAAATCGGGAACCTCATCAGCAGCACTTGCAATCTTGGCCCATTTTACCACACCTCGCTCGTCAATCGCAAAGCTTCCAGAAGTTTGCCAACGACTGCCACTTTCGGTAGGTTTGTTCCAGATCTTCTCTTGCCTTCCGAGTCGGTATGCGGAGTAAAGCGACCACGGGTTGAGGACGTGCCATGCTGATGAGACTCCCAAACCCCACTGCGCGTATGCTTCTCTCTCCTCGTCTACAACTAGCTGTACATCCCATTGTCCGCCAACTGATATGACCCAGTTGTCGGTTGCTTTCTGGTCTGAGTGGGAGACGGCGATGAAGTTGATTTCAGGATATTTGCCTGCAAACCTGCGAAGTTGCTGGAAGGTCTTTTCGGCAACTGCGATAGATAATCAGTATTAGTTTTGACATGCCTTGTGGAAGGGCAAAATACACACATGGACATCCACAGTGTCGCAGAAAGGTGATTATGGCTGGCTTGCCATTAGAACATGAAGTTGGAAGTATTGAGGAAGTGGGTGCCTTTTCTCCAATCTCTGGAACTGGATAGGTTGTTAGTGATTTGGGAGACTTCCAAGAACTTAGTTCTTGTTGGAAAGTCATCGTGGAGAGAGTTTGAGATTGAGGATATGGCAAGATAGGGAGAGTTTGCGGCTACAGCAAGATTTGAATTGTAATAAAGTGAAGGATGAACCTTGTGTGGCGAGGAAGTGTTAATGTTAACTGCAAGAATACGAGTACATTTGGAGCTTGTGCGGGGCATGACGATGGACGGGAGGGAGCTCTGGAGACCTGGGCGGGGGCGGGGCGAGCGGGGATATCCGACTGGGCGGATCGGAGTCGGGAGCGTCTTCGGACCGGATGTCGCTAGCCCATATTAAGCCTTGAAGTTTGCGAGGGATTTTGATTCTGGACTTGTCAACTCGCTAGGTAAATTTACGAGTACGCGAGGACTTCAGGTACCTCTGAATGTATTTCAGCGCGCACAAGTGTCGTCCCTTCCTGAATAGAGTACTTTCAACGCACCGAAAAATTGGAGTTTGTGCCCTAAAATAGCGAACTTCGAAGTCACATTACACAAGCCGACTCCCATATCAGGTTGGTGCGCGAACGAGACTGCAGAGGCACCTGTGGCCAAAATTGAATAGGACTTGTTTATATGCCTAGCGCGGTGTTTGCTGCTTGAGAGTTGTCACGATGCACGAAATCATCACTTTGCAACTGGGGCAGAAGAGCAATTACCTTGCCACCCATTTCTGGAACACACAGGTATGAGTCTGGGTACTTGACATTAGTACTTTTCAAGGTGATATCAGCTAAAACAAGCCCAGGAATCGTATTTCACATACTCTGCAGACGAAGAATCCCAGGTGGACCATGACGTTCATTTCCGGCCGGGCATCGGTGCTGATGACACGGAAACCTTTACACCAAGAACGCTCATTTATGATCTGAAAGGCGGTTTCGGTTCGATGAGAAAGATCAATGCATTATACGAAATTGACGAACCTGCTGTTACAGAGGGGTTATGGTTAGAACCCTTGGATACAGTTGCTCATTCCAATGTTAAATCACATTCTAGGAACGGACCGGCTGTTATCCAACGACAGGCTGTAATTCAGCAAAATGAATACCAGAAAAGTTTGGAAGAGGGGGTCGCACCGCCCCAGCTAACCCCCCAGTCAGTAAGATACTGGTCGGATTTCAACCGAGTATATTTCCATCCAAGATCTGTTGTTCAGCTCAATGAGTACGAATTAAATTCTTCACTTACTCCATTCGATAATTGGGGCGCTGGGGAGGAACTTTTTAACTCACTGGACAAAGAGCACGACTTGCTAGACCGAGATTTGCGGTACTTTGCAGAGGAGGCCGATCAAATGCAAGGCATCCAGCTAATGTCCGGAATCGACGACGCTTGGGGTGGCTTTGCCGCACGATATTTGGATCGCATAAGGGATGAATATGGGAAAACTCCTGTCATGTTTTGGGGATTAGAAGACAACATCAAAAACATCCCTCGAGTAAGACTTCCGTACGGCTGTAAATAATCACCATACTGACTAATACAGGAAAAACGTTTCATAAAGTTATCCAACGCCGCTCGATCAATATCGGAAATTTCACCACAATCCTCTGTCTTTGTTCCACTTACTGTTCCATCTGGAAATTTACCACCATACATGAAGCTCAACCTGCAGTCGGAGTGGCATATTTCCGCGCTCCTTGCTACTGCCGTAGAAAGTGTTTCTTTACCCTCGCGGTTGAAGCTTCAAATCAGTAATCGCGAAACTTTGAGCCTTCTCGAGAACTCATTGAATACCAACGGAAATCAAACAATAGCGAAGTTGCAAATGAGCGTCGACCAGAAAGAAGCTGCTAATGGTGTCCACAACGGAGACGCGCCCCTTCTGTCTGAAAGCACTGACTCTAGAATATTCTCGCAGGCGGATGCGAACATATATTCCGAGACCAAGAATCTCGACATGGATTTCTTTCCCGCTGGTGGTGAAGAGCAATTGAGAGGTCCACGAAGATCCAAGAAAGTTCATGTCTTTGGGCAGACAGAATTATCAAGGACAAGCGAAGACGCTGACCCGTCAAATCCTACTGGGGCGTATGATGGATATGAGCGCGCAAGGAGGCGAGCTGCTGGACTTCCAATCATCCAAAAGTCAGTAATCAAAATTCCCACAACAAATTAGTCCTATCAACCTCACTAATAATGCTACAACAGGAGAACGGTGGCTATGCCATATCCGATACTTGACAGCTTTCCTGATATTTTCTCTGGCATTCAACAATTATCCACGCCTCTGGCTATAAGCACGTCGCTATCTACAGATACCACAGTTGCCTTGCTTATCAAAAACCTTCAACAGATTGTCAACAGAGCTATTGGAGTCGACGAACGTGAGGCACTTAGCAATTCTCTTGGTGGGATTGCCGAGGCATATGAGGAGGGCTGGGATAGTGGTACGGATGACGACGATGATTGAGTAATATTACCGGACTAAACTCATAATACGAGATGTTGGGTACCAGGCCTTGCGTCTTTCCAACCACCTCAGCTGCCGTGTGAAAAGCGTGACCATGATACTTCGTACCTTCCTAACGCAGGGCAAGAAAATTCTAAGTCCGGTTCCAATAAACTAAAAGATCAGGTACCGAGTCTAGGGCGCTTTTTGTTTTCCTTTCTGTTGTTTCTTTTCTGATGCTTACGCTGAGGGAACTGCCTTTCAACAGCGACCTGAAAAAGACGACGATAAACCTGCCCACAACCTCTACCCCAGGTCTAGCGATGCATCATTAACTTGGCATATTATCTTTAGAGAATCCTCAGTTAACACCCGAACTCTATGATGCGAAAATAATTCTATAGTCAACCTCCAGTGCCGAAATTGTCATCGACATGCTACGACTCTGCCATATGTGCGAAGTAAATGGTTTACCGCTCCCATCCCCCTGGTTACTATGATGCAATCACCTTATTTGCCATCGGATATTTTTTCATGAAGTCATCGGAAGCAGGGACCGGACTTTGGATCTCCATACGCAAATTTTCTATTTCTAGTTTCCCGGATCACGCTTGTTTATGGAATCATATCCGTCCACGCGGTTCAGCGAGGGATTTACAAAGAACCTGCGAGAGGTCGTCGCTTGTGTCAATTGAGAAGATGAGATGAATCTTGCTCGGATTTTACAGCCTGAGGTCAGGCCTAGTAGGTAAAGGTAGAACAGCTAATCGATTCGATTGAAGAATTAACGCCTTGATAAGCGGTATACTTTGTGATATGACGCTGTGCCCTGTATCCATCCTACCTCTTGCCCCAGACAACAACGCACATTGCATGCTGACTCTTGTGTAGCTAAGACTGCTGGCCGACCTCATCATTTACAATACGGCGTTCCAACCCCGCCACCAAACAAGAAACTCTTCTCGAATACGAACTTCGTGCTACAGCTCGATGCTTATTTCTTAGCGATTCGTTGGCTTTAGTTGTGGGCCCACAGTTACAATCAAGCTTGATGCACTTTGATGGGATCATCAACAAATCCCCAATAAGTGCGGAGGATTTTCCTGCAGGTGCATTTTCAGGGGTGTCTCGCTTGGGGTTGGACGCATGGCGGAGGCGGGGTCTGGAGAATCAGGTTTGGGGTAAACCAGAACTTCATTCGCTCACAGCGCACAAGGAGGTTGGCAACAGCACCATCATGAAAAGTTCGGGTTGATGCGATGACAATCAGGTGGTTGGTGGTTGTGTTTCCTCAGTTTGCAATTGCGGCCGCTACAACTTGACCGTGGCACTTCCACGTCGTACATTCTTTGTAACCTTAATGGTTCTGTTTTACGGATTGAACACTGTCATCACGAACCCCAGAGTATGTATCTTATACTCTTTCCCCGGCCTTTCCTTCCCTTATCTGGGAATGACACGATGTCATAGGAACGTATCCAGGTCAACCACCGGTTCCTTGCCCGCAGGCAAGATGGGATTGTAGTTTGCTGGTCCCAACTATTCCATGATTTCATGACGGGCTTCGGCCTCTCAGGCACACTCTTATGCCGGAGAAGAACTGCAGCGTCAACGGAGATATATTTTTTTGGTTGGTTGAACCGCTACCAATTATGGGGGTGCTTATGAAGAGACAAATGGGTCAACATGCACTCCAGTGGCGTTCCCCTGTCGTAACACAGGAACCTGCATATCGATTGCCAGATCAACCAGCCTCACCCAGCCATTGGAATATGGCCTAATCGCTCGATTCTGCCCATAACGCCAGTGTTGGTGACTTCACATTGGTCACAATCATCAACTTTGACCAGGTGGAATTGTGAGTGTGATATTTACCCCAGGCGATGCATATCTTTTCTCCTATCAAATTGACGTACCAAAACCGTATGGAGGATGGGACAGCTCGAAGCCCAGCGGGAAAGCTCACATAAGAAACCAAGTTTTCCCATCCAAGTTTGTTCTTGCACAACAAACCAGCCTCTGAAATCCATTATCACCAGCCTCTCCCCAAGGAAATTTCTTTCCTCACTATCGTTATTTAACATCACCATCGTTCCTGTGATAGTTTTCCGCATCTCTCACTCACCCCAACACTTTCGCTAATCCCACTCGCCTACCATTATCCAAAATGATGAAGTCTTTATTTACTGCATTGGCTTTGGCCTCTAGTGTCCTTGCCACATACCCAGTTTTCACCACGGTCGTTGAAACTACTTATACCACAATTTGTCCTGTGACGGAAACAAAGACTCAAAAAGGCTCGACGTATTATCATACTTATACAACTACATCTACTGTTATTACTGCCGTTCCTACGATTATCGAGGTTACAAAAACAGGCCCTGCAGTGACTGAGAAGACGGGGACAGTGATTTATACCACTTCGACGTCGTTGTGTCCAATAACGTAAGAATTCTATCCTATCCAAAGGGGTTTCAGCCTTCGCTTCGCCTACACCCGCTTCACTTTGGTTTGTGCAAGATAGCTTGGAAAGTGGGTTTTCATTCGAAGAGATATAGGAAATTGGAAGATTGATATTCTAGGTCTCCTAAATCATACCGGATAATGTTTCTCTATTATTCCAACTTCTTTCACACACTTCGGAGAAGCCGGGATGTACACAGAGAAAGGAGCAGGTCTTTTCCTTGAAGAGCAATGCTAACTTGTTTTTTAGTGAGACCAAAGTTGCTGGCGGCTCTACAGTTACTCAAGTCTGGACTAGCACAAGCATAATTGTAACCGAAGTCCCAACCATTATCAAGGAAACGTAAGTTTTGAGATACTTCGGGTTGGATAACCAACTAACCAACTTAGTGCTACTGCTCCACCAGTGACGAAGACAATTGAGACTTTTGTGTATCAAACCTCGACTTCCTTATGCCCAGTAACAGGTAAGAAATGGCGCAGGAGAAAGACAGGAAACTCTCACGCTAACCTGTTGGCAGAAGTACAAACGATCTCTGGAAAGCCAGTGACTATAATTTCGACTCTTACCAGTCTCCTCTCGGTCCTGATTCCAACCACAATTGTCCAATATACCACCCAGCTCAACACGGCCTACGAAACGACGAAAGTCTATCAGACTGTTAGCGAGTTGGCTACATACTATACTACAGTCAGCGCTGGTTCAACAATCACCATTCGTAAGTCAATTCTCTTTCTTCTCCTCGAGCAAGGAATCTTGAATGAGTTCTCTAGCAAGAAGCTAACCATTTCCTAGCCACCACACAGTACGAAACGTACCACGTCACGCAAGCATACACAGTAACCTCCACCTCGGAACCCCCCACAACCAAAGCAACGATCAGCATCCCGATAACACTCGCCACCTCCGTCCCCGTAACCGAAATAATCACCGTGCCATCCGAAAAAACAGCTACATCTTCAGGATCTACATACTACACCGAAATTCCCGTATCAACCCAATCCACCTTCACGGCACCAGCACCAATCACCACCCTTCCCCCCGTGATCATTTCCTCCATCCTATCTCCTCCAGCACCTTTGACCGTCACTCAAAGTGCCAGTACATTCACCCCACCCCCTGTATCCTCGACTTTTATCCCCATTCCGAGTTTCACGACCGCTACCCCCTCGACGCCGAGTTATGCGCCGCCGCAGGTGAGCTCCAACGCAGCGGTTACGACGAATAATCCGATTGCGTTTGCCATTGCCGGGGCGGTTGCGATCGTTGTGTTCGGTTAATGGTGGGTTAGTTGCCGAAGTCTGCATGTTATGTGAGCCCATGATGGCATGATGTTTTTTGTCTTAGGCGAGATGTATATGATGTTATGACCAACACTCCTTTTTGGCGACTCTTTTGCATACTTGGGGCGTGGATACATGTCATGTGGCTTTCTTGGATTGGAAGAGACCCGAGGGCGTTTTCTTTTCCCTCATACCTTTTTTAATCAAGTAATTATTAATGTTTGGTGAGAGACGAGAGGTGGGAAATTAAGGGTTTATGATTCTTGTATAGATTTTAGATAATATATGTCCAGATATTACCAATTTTTTCTTCTTACGTTGCTTACATGTATGCGAGGAAGTTGGATTGGTTTTACTTTGGATCTTTGTGTATGAATGATTTGGTAAAATGGGGTTCTCTTGGGGTTTATTACAGCGATATTAATAACCTGCGTCAAAAGCGTGATTTGCTCGTCTCGGGTTCGTAAGTACGAAAGGAAGGAGGATTAATTACCCAATTAAATAATCATGAGGCTATACGCCTAGGGGGATTACTATAGATGTAAGTAGAATAATATTTAGGTTAAATAGTCTCCTAGGCGTTCATAAGGTTATTTAAAACCTTATAAGTAATACTTAGGCTACCTAGCGCTTAATAAAGGCCTAGCTAATTATATAAAATAGGTAGAATATTTAAGAATAGTAGTAAGAATTAAAGAGAAAAGCCTACTAGCGTATAAACAATAATCCTACTAAATTATAGTTATTATTATTAATAGAGTAGAAAGAATAAATAGCTTAGAATAAGAAGAGTGAGGTTAATTAGTTACTTTTACTATATAAAATATATTATTTACTTATCTTAGGTTTATAAGTACGAAAGAAAAGAGAATTAATTACTTAATTAGGTAATTATAAGGCTATATACCTAGGGGGATTGCTATAGATATAAGTAGAATAGTGTTTAGGTTAAATAGCTTCCTAGGTATTTATAAGATTATTTAAAACCTTATAAGTAGTATTTAGGCTACTAGATAAAGGCTATTTCTAAATAAAGTATATAGAGATATACTAAGGTAGCGAACCGCCGCTATAGTGGGAAGTAAGTATAGCTATAAGCTACTTATATATAGACCTTTAAAGTTCGTAAAGTCTAGGACTACTAGCGCGGAGCTATAATCTATAGAATAAATATAGAAGAATATAGGGTTTTTACCTTTATATAAAGCTTTATTAAGGATATAAGCTAAAGAAACTACTCTAAAGTATGTATTACTTTAAGCTAAAGTATTATAAAATAATAAAGAAGTAATAGATATAAACTAAATATAGTAGCTATTTAAATTTCCTAAATATTAACTGTGACGGAGCTGGATTTCATTTGACAGGATTTCATTCGCTTGGCCAAGCACGTGACGAGACTTGGCATTGGAACAACTTAAATAACTTCGCTCCTTTCAGATTCTCTTCTCTCTTTAGTTTGATTTCTTCGTACCTACGGTTTTAGTTCTAGCAATTGATTCAAAAGCTGTATACACTTTATCCTTTGTTGGCATCCGTGACATTAACTATATTACTATTAGATAAAACTACTTTTATAAAAGCTATACTTATATAATAAGGTTCTATAGTAGCCTAAGATTATAGTACTATAACTAAGATTTACTAATATAAATTTAACCTTTTATAGAAAAGTTTCTATAAACTAATAATACTTTTCTAGTGTCACGAATCACGTGTTAGCATGTGACGAGTGAAGACCAGGCGGCGTCCTGACAGGTTAAGCACTATCATTGGGCTCTTATAGCAAGTGAAGGGTGGGGCAGGCTTGCTGCTCCATCCAAGGATTTCATTGTATGTAGTCACGTGATGGATCTTGGGATCTTGAGGATCCCAGGATCCAGACAAGGGATCTGGGGGATCCTCAGATCCACATGGGAACGAAGGTTCTATATAAGATGGCATGTCTGCCATTAGATAGGAGCTTCGTGCTCAACT